CAAATAGTAACGTTTCACATGAACGTTTTCCAGGAATACGGCCCGGTTTACACTTTTTGGTTCGGACCGAAGCCCACCGTCCACATCTGCGATTACTCTATTGCCGTTGATGCGATGGTGAAAAAAGGCTCGGCGTTCGCCAGTCGCAATCTCCCTTACCTACCCGTTATGATAAGAAGTCAGTTGGACGCGGTAATGATTCTGTTACACCAGTTTTCTTTGCAATTACTCTTTGAATTTATGGCCCGAAGTTCTGTTAATGCAGAGCAAGGACCTACAACAGGAATATGAATGTAGAGAGAACCCCTCATGAAACCATTCTCTGCCTTTGTGAAGACAGTACATTTCAGAAGGGCGTGGAATCATCGTCTCAAATGGGACGCCTTGGTGGAACAGCGTCGTTTCGCCTTACATACCCTTCGCAACTTCGGTCTGGGGAGGAACATCATTGAGGAGAGGATTATGTACGAATTTGAAATTGCGTGAGTGACATGGTTATAAAGAAGACAACAACCGTTGAAGGTAGCGCTGCAGTGGACAGGAAAAGGGGCGGAAGTTGGGGTTTTACGGAAGGCCTCTCCTCCAGTGTTGTCTGAACTGCTGCCCAGCCTCCTGGTGTATGCCATTGACGTCGAAGGTCACGAACATCTCTTTTTTTCTAGCTAATTGACTTGACTCGTTGCAGCACTGCTGCCAGGTGTCTGGGTCCTGCTGAAAATGCTGCGCACCGCGCTAGCAGCGTCTCTTTAGCTACCTTATTGCAACTCGGGGCTAACAATTTACAGTGTTGCTGGTGGCGGATGACAGGGCGTTGCCACCTCCTTCTTTATTAGTTGTCGAAGCGGGTATACGATAAAAAAGTGGTGGAGGACGATACGGGATGGCGTCGCGACAAACACGTCCCCTTGACAAGCCTCATCAACCGCAGCGAACAAGGTTGTATACCCCTACCTCCTATGGACCAGTCACAAGGCAATCGCATTACCACGCGCTAGGCGGCCTGGGCGGGAGCCGATCCAGGAGTTGATCCCTAGACCGTGCACGTGGTGACCGTGCCACTAGCCACTACACCACCTCCGTATAGCCTCCAGTCCAAGCTCCCATCTCCAGAGTTCTAAATCCATGACCGAGTCTAAATTCATGACCATCCAAAATTAATGGAAAAAAAGAAGAGTTGGGAACTAACGTGACTGAGACCATTTGTAGGTGTGAGAAGCTGGACAAGCGTTTGAAGGCCGAAGGAAAATCGATTAATGCTCACAGAAATTTCGAGTTACTGGTTGGAAACATCATCAACAGAATGTTATTCACTGAACGATTCGAAAAGGCAAGCAGCTGTGCTAAGTAACTGTTTCGATTTTTGAATTTTCGCTACAGTGTTCGCCAAGTAATGATGGATAGAGCATCCAGCGAATAGGAGCTCAATGAATGTTAGATGCGACATCTCTGAAGAAGCATTGCGCGATTTTCAGTCGTAAGCTGTGAAGTCTAAACATGAATTTATATGTTAATAGACACTGATTAACTTACCAACGAAAAAAAAGGAGAAAAAAAAGTCAGACCTCCCCAAATACTCAATGGATTAGGAGTCGTATCGAAGAGTCGAGACACTTTCTCGTGCCTGAGGCAAAGAATGGGAGGACATGACGAGTAGAAAGGTGAGAAGAGCGACAGGTCGGTCCCACATAGAATGACCGCCGGCACATCTCGTTCCCAGGTAGGTGGGGCAACTCAACTGAGACCTTCCTTCGTCTTATGGCGGACGCAGTACCATCTTAGTCAGTGTCGAGCCACGTAAATGGGACAACCTCTCAGAATGCAGACCGAACTACTTCCACAAAGAGAAATCCTATCCATTACATATTTGCGAAATGCGTCTTTAATCTCGATAACGCGTTTATTTCATAAGATCTGCCTTTTTTCACAGTGAAATATTGGCGAACTGCGTGGATGATTGTTTAGTAGCATTCTAATTTTGCTTTATAGGATGAGGAAGAGAAATTCTTTGCTCTAAAGAAGACGCTGGATGATCTTATGGAGAATTTATCGCTCTTCGATTTTTTCATTGACGACTGGAATGTGAATTGGCCAATTCTCAGACATCGAGTGGAGCGTATAATGAAGCCAGTGAACGCCGTGCTGGATTTTATTCGAAGTCAAATCGAGCAAAGGTCTGCGATCAGCCATTACTGGATACGTGTAATGCAACAGTAGAGATGGAGCGACGCTCATAGCTGACAGCATGCGAATAACTTTGAAATAATTCAGCGAGTATAGAACAAGTGAGGATCAGTAGAAGCCACGCCCGTCCTGCGGCTGTCAATTTTTTTTTTGCAAAATACGACTTCATCATAGTGGAAGCTTCCCAGCGATGTGGAGAGCGCGCGTGAAACAGGAAACTCAACTATCAAAAAATTCTCAGGCCAAATAACTCCTTTCCTCCAACAACCAAATGTGACCCTCCCCTCTGATGGGGAGACGGGCAAGAGAACCGTAAATTGCCGGTTCTCTTGCCGGCAATTTACGGTTCTCGGCAATTTGCGCGACGTTTTCTTTGGCACTATCGTTCCGATTGGAGCATCGGATTTCACGTAGACGAGGACATGGTAGACAAGTATGTCTATTTTTGGTCATACATTGTTTATCGTAGACCAATACCTGAAATCGTCGTCATTAGCGGGCGCGACGTCGCACGCGACGCCCACTGGCGCGGCGAATTACGATTCTCTTGCTAGATACCCGATCCTCTCAAAAACGTTTTAAGTAGGACACTTTTGGTCCTATCTAGAACTAGGTTTTATGAGCCTAGATGAACAGACACTGAGCGCACAAAAGCAAATGAAACGAAATGGTGAGAAGTACACAAACCAGTGTGATGACAGTCAATATGAAATAAGAAGGTGGGCTGGCCCCTACGGACAACGGGGGCGCAGTTGGCGGCGGGGAGGAGCATTTTGCTCTTGATCTTTCCCATCGACAGTGACACTCTACACAGCCTCCTTCTCGAGTAACAGGATTTACCATGATGGTTGACGAGCTGCTCTCAGTCCACAAGTCCCGGTTTCATCCGCCAAATGAGAACTTTGAAACGGATCTAGTGAAGTCCAGGGAAAGTGCAAAACCGCCCCTCCCTCCTCCCATCGTCCGAACTGCGCTCGACTGGGAGATTGACAACATCCTTTACTCCTCCTTGACTGCTACTTGGCTAGCCACTGAATAGAACGGCATATGGGAAACAATACCAGGCAATTGCGAACTGTCGGGTACGCGCAGAGCGAAGATCTGCAACACGAGGAATTTGATGAACACATATAACATGGCCTATTTCAGGAAGCGTGAAATCGCTAATGGGACTCATGTACCGCAAGGAGAAGGCGACGATTTTGTTGACGCCTTCTTAATTCAAATGAAAAAGGAACACGAGAATGCCCTCCCAACGAGTTTTGAGTGAGCTTGAGTTTTTGAGATTTATTTTCAGAAGAGCTCTCTTTGTCCTCACTTCTTTCTCTTTCTCCTATCTTTTAATTTACTTTTACTTTTTCTATGTTTGAAACGAATTGATCATCGCAGAATACTTTGAGACTTCTGCTATGTATCTCTACTAGATTAGTCCCGATGCTATTTATCTGAGTTTTCTTTCAGTGACGAAGGGCTGTTAATGTCACTGTTGGACTTGTGGCTAGCTGGTCAAGAAACCACGTTCACTACAGTGGAGTGGGCCTTTTCGTATTTACTTCTCAACCCGAAGGTGAATGGCTAAAGTGCAATGACAGAAGTGCTGGTACAGTCTTGTTCGCCGCAGATGCTGGGGCGTGTCAGGAAAGCTGGGCTTGGCGAGGCGCCAGCCCGTTAATCACCAACTGTGGATGGCAGGCGACCTCAGTCGGTGGGGAGCAAGCTGACGCCGCGCCAAGCGCAGCTCTTTTAAACCCCCAACGTCCGCAGCGAGCAAGGATGGATACAGATCAGGGCACGCCATCACGTTGTGGAGAAATGTTCGTTGCAATTGCAAAATATGGCGCTCCGAATTCTCCTCTGGTACGACTCCTTTCCCAACTTGCCTGCAATCTTGCCAAATTTTCCTGGAATTTCTCACCCGATAGTGTAGCGACAAGTGGCGCTCTTACACCAGCGGG